CACTGTCTAACCATCTCATCCTTTGCCATCCCCGTCTTCTTTGACCTTCAATCTTTCCCAGAATCAGGGTCTTCTCCAGGGAGTGCTCCCTTCTCATTTGGTGGCCCAAGTATTTGAACTTCAGTTTCATTATCTGGCCTTCCAGGGAACAGTCAGGGTTGATTTCTTTTAGGATTGACTGATTTGATCTTCTTGCAGTCCAAGGGACTCTCCAGAGTCTTCTCCAGCACCATAGTTCAAAAGAATCTATTCTTCGGCACTCGGCCTTCCTTATAGTCCAACTCTCGCAGCCATACATGACTACTGGGAATACCATTGCTTTGACCATGCGGACTTTTGTTGGCAGGGTAATGTCTCTACTTTTTATCATGCTGTTTAGGTTCGCCATCGCTTTCCTCCCAAGGAGCAGGCGTCTTTTAATTTCATGGCTGCATAGTTATGTCAAAATGTAACATTTGTGTTATAATTCAGACAGCTGGTGTCAGTACCTGTACTCAGACATCAAATGGGCCTACTAATTTTGCAGCATTGTCATATAGATTTAACTTCAGCTGTACACTTATCCTTTGTACATCTGGGAAGCCTGGGGGTATGCCCAGTTTGCTGGGAAAGTCATAATACGCCTCTCATGCAGAAACAGTGGCCAGAATGCAAGCACAGTCCATCTGTATCAGGAGCATGTCCAGAAATTTGCACTTTTCAAGAGCAGAATTTGCTGTAAGAAACAAAGATTTACACATCTGTGTCTGAATCTGTGCTTCCCTATCTATCCACAACTTTCCCTTCTTTGTTTTATACTGTGAAGGAGGTTAAGCTGAGAGAAAGTGACTGTCCCAAGATCATACCAGCAACCTTCATGATAGGATGGAAGATTTGAACCCAAGTCTCCTATACCCTGGTTCGACTCTCTAACCACTACACTACACCCATGCTCTCCTACTTGCAGTCCTCAGATGGCAGCCGTAGAACATATGGCAGCAGTCTGTGCCCACCTGTCTAATCCCTATCAGCTAGGAAGGACTCTTAAGATTCCGTTCAAGGGGCCAGAAGGGGAGTATGAAAGCTCTTGGCAAAAGTTCAATGCGGTACAAATTGGGCACCACAGGTTGGCTGCCATCTGAATGTGCTAGGCGAGTAGGGATGGTCATTAGAGAGCTATAGGAGAACCAAATGTACCCCTTGCCCTGTTTCATTTCTGAGCTGAAAATGCAGTTGGTATGTGTCGCTCTATGCTTCTAACTCCGAGCTGTGATACACTGGGAACCATAGATCCAGAGGACTTAGCCATGCTAGCCTGTTGCGGCAAAACAGTAAAAAGCCCTGTAGCACCTTGAAGACTAACAAACTTTATTGTAGCATAAGCTGACGAAACACAGCATCTGATGAAGAGAGCTGTGTTTCTTGAAAGCTTATGCCCAGTAGCACCTTTAAGACTAACGGACTTTATTGTAGCATAAGCTACAGTCTGCACTCCAATCGTGACCCATATCTCTGGTCGCATGGCTAGAGGTGCTGAAGAATTGTCAGCAATCCTGAGGCTACTCACTCTGCTTTTTCTCCACTGTTATGACTGGGAGGGGACCAGAATACAATATATAATAGTGTTTTTGTATGCACATATGCAGAGAGAGTGCAGATTGCTAAACATTCCATCATCAGCCACAGTATATCATGCACTGTGGACTTGTTCACATGGTTTTTTTCTGACCCCATACTGCTTCAATTTATCCTCCGCTTTCCACATGCATTTTTGTGCTTGCATTTTTGTGCTTTTAGTTCTTTTGCTTCAGTTCTGTTTTTGGTGGGCCATTTCCTCCCAGTTCTTTTGAAACCACTTTTACCCCAGTCTTTTTCTGGAAGCTGATTTTGAGTCACCTTTTTTCTCATGCCTAATGTTTCTGACGGTTTTCTTCGTCCCATCCACCTCCGGCCTGCTTTCTGATGAATGGACTGTCGTCATCATCAACCCCCCCCCCCCGGTCCGGAAGATGAGTGGTTTTTTGTAAACTTGGTATCAATATTTTAGTGTTTTTTTTTAAAAAAACCCACAGGCCATGATACTAATATATCAATGTAAGCATGCACAATGAAAAGAGCTGCAGTGAGTGACACCCCCGATGATGCTAGTATGCTCCCTTGAAACTCCTGATTATTTAAGGCATGTGTAGAAGAAAATAAACTGACTCCATAACTATGAAAAGGCAGAAGGGGGACAGACATGAGAAAGGACCCTGTCCAAATCAATTTCACTACTTGTGGATCGACTGCCAAGAAAATCAGGGGCAAGTTAAGCGTACGGAAACGGGTTCCCCCGGAATCTCCAGCACTGAACATATTTGGTATAAATTATGAAACCATGTTGCCCATTATCTGCCAAAAAAAAAAAGGCAGGCAACATATTTAGATTCAGATCAAGACTTGTGTAGCTGTGCTCAGGTGTTTCCAGATACCCTGTTGGGTATTGGACTGTTTTCTTTGAACGCCAGGTTCCAATGCTGTCTCATCCATTTTTCAAAAGTAGTTTGCCTTATAGCATGGAAGAAGGAAAGAAGGAAGAGATCTCTTGTATGCATAGCACCAGTAATATGGTTTTTTGGATCCAGGCAAGAAGAGCATCACTGCCTGCCAGAGAATTATTTTGCATGAAATTAAACTTTGATATCAGTGGGAGAGAGCTTATATACTTAAATTTGCTGTTGACTAGTCTGTAAGCTGGAAATGTGGCCATGAGGATGCAGGTTTTGGTCATGTGTTACAGTCATGCCCTGTTGTAAAGAAGTTTTGGAATGCTGTACTTAGAGAAACAAACCATATTGTTTCTCTATGCGTTGCCAAATGATCCAGGATGTTTATTACTGGGTTTTTGCCAAAAGGTGTTCAGAAAGTGCACAAAGGAACAGTTCTTGATTTTATGACTGCAGCACAAAATTGGGAAAAGGTGGAGACTTTAAATATTTAATCTTGTATAATTAAAGTCTGGGAAATTGCGAGATTATCCAAGCTAACTGAATTTGTTAAACTGGGAGATGAAAGGGCTAATCAGGTCTATTTTTCAGAGAGCTGGAAGCCCTCTTTTATTTTAGGGATAAGAAATTACATTTAAATTTTGATATGTTAATTGTGCAAGTTTCTTATAGGTCACAAAGTGTCTGATGGAATCCAGACTGTCAGGTATTTTAGAGCTGTTGGGTGAGCAGGCAGTAGTGATTTCTGGTATTTCTAGTTAAGAATGCATTGATTAATTTGGTTTAAAGAGTAAATGAACTGTTTGGTAATTATGGCTACTCTTATGGTTGACTGCTCTGAGTTGGGAAATACTTGGAGGTTTTGGGGGTGGAGCCTGGGGAGGGCGGGGTTTGGGGAGGGGGAGGGACCTCAGGAAGGCATAATGCCATAGAATCCATCCTCCAAAGCAGCCATGCTATCCAGGGAAACGGATCTCTATTGTCTGGAGGTCAGTTGTAGTAGCAGGAGATCTCCAGGCCCCACCTGGAGGTAGCAACCCTAACTATTATGGATGCTGATAGTTTGCATATTTCACTGATTTTGTTAGTCTGTTTGTCTTATTGAATATTGAAGAGAATAAGTAAAAAATGTTACCACTGGCATCAGTGGCACTGAAAGAGGCTTAATTTTCCCTGGATCATACCTGTGATTTTTTGAAAAAATGTTGTCAGAAATACATGCATAAATTAAAGTACTAAACATGAACAATTTACAGCACTAAAAATTCAATAAACCAAGATCAAATCAATAAAAGTAATATAAAAGGATTAAAAATGCAATGTTAAATTGTATCAAAATAACTCTAGTGGGTGGTTAAAAGATAAAATTGCAGCAGAAAATGCAGTATGACAGCTTCAATAGGCAATAAAAAGGCACAACAGAAATTCACATCAAGGGCATTTCAGAGCTTAAGAAGCAAATGGCACAATGTATAAATGCCAGTCAACTGGATAGCCTGGGCAAATGCCCATGTTTTCAGTATTATGTATTCAATGTTAATGAGAAATATCATAAAACAAGGGGGGGACCCGCGGTACTCGCGGGGGGTCTCTCTCTTTCCTCCCTTCTCTCTCTTCCCCCCAGTCTCTCTCTCTCTCTGTCTCTCTCTCCCCCCTTCTCTCTCTTCTCCCCCCTTCTCTCTCTCCCCCCTTCTCTCTCTCCCCCTGTTCTCTCTCTTCCCCCCCGTCTCTGTCTTTCCCCCGTTCTCTGTCTCCCCCCCCCCAAGAACAGACCCTCGGCACCCCCACCCACCCACACCGGCTCTGAGCCGAGGGCCAAGCGGCGAGCCGCTCGCCGCTCTGCCCCCCCTGCTCGCCACTCGCCTTCCAAATGGCGGCGGCGGCCTCCGCAGAGCGTTACGTGCGCATGCGCACGGACGCTCTGACACTTTCGGGGGGATTTAAATATCCCCCCGATAATTTTTTTTAGTTTTTAGATTTTTGTGCACCCCTGGGGACTGCCCCAAGAGTGCACAAAACTCTCCCTGCCCTTCAGGTCGCCCCGGAGCGCGGATTTAGTGATCCGCACAGACGGGGCGACTTGGGTATTAGATATATAGATACTTTATTGAATTGCTATTCCAGGATGCTGTTTTTATATATTTGTGTTAAAAATTGACTGCATTTTCGAAAGATTAAAGCATAGGGTTTAAATATCTCTGGTTTCTGGACTCCAGAAGGGCTGTAAAGTTTTGAATTTACAGTTATGAAATCCAGTTTTGGGGTATCTGATACAATCCCCATCAAGAATATACTGCTGTTTTGGAGAATAAAATGAATCCTCTGTAGACTAATTATAATTGGTATGATAGCTTTAATTCTAATGTTGTAAAAGTCTTAATCCCCAAATTTTCTTCACCTAAAGTGAACATTCATGGAGATTATGCAATAGTTCCTTTGCCGATAATGCTCTTGTTCTCCTAAATAAAAATCCAGATGAGCAAAAAAAGATATTTTAGTTTTAATTTGTTTTAATCTTCTTTTTCAGTTGAAAGATGTATGAGTGTAATGCAGTCTGGGACTCAGATGGTTAAACTGAAGAACGGAGCCAAAGGCCTTGTGCGTCTTTTCTACCTTGATGAACACAGGACTTGCATCAGATGGAGGCCATCTAGGAAGAGTGAAAAAGCAAAAAGTAGGTTCTGTCTTTCTGTGCATGCCCGTTTGGATTCTGTCATTTCAGACAGGGCTGCTTCACATGTTGTATTGCCAGCAACTGCCTTCCCCCTTTCCAGCCTTAACTTTGGTTAGGAGTTTTAAGACAGGTGTTGGCCCATGGTTCATACGGGGTTAGATCCTCTTTATTGGACTCTCATATCTTTATCCTGCCCCTACATAGTTCTTCCCTTCCTCGTTTCATCACAGCAACACATTGAGGTAGGTTATGTTGAGAGGGAATGACTGGGACCAGGTTAACCAAATGAACTTCTTGGTAGAGTGAGGATTTGAACTTGGGATCCCCAGATCCTACTTCATCACTCTGCCCACTGTACTACACTGGATCGGATGCAACACAAGTGTAAGGGTGCTCATGGATGTGGATCTTTACTGCACTCTCCCTTCCTTCAGTAACCCCTTGAGAACCCCCCCCCCCCCCAAAAATGCTGATAGTGGAGGTTGTAGCACCCAGAAGGACAGACAACCACACAGCCTGGGAGGCTGCACCAAGGAGAGGTAACTTGAGAAAAATCTCCTCCAGTCTTCCTAGTCTGTTGGCAGGAGAGAAAGGTAAAGGTGATTTTGCCAGGCTTGCCCTTCTCACTGCTCTCTCCTTGGGTCTGGGCATTTTGTCCAGGTAGCCCCCCCAGCATCAGCCTTGTAGGCATCTTAGGGGATTTCTACAGGAAGGGGGAGGTGGGAAAGAATCAGCAGGCTCCATCCCAATGTATCTGTATGAAAAGTTTCACTAAAAATCCTATATCTTCGTATACAGGATTTAAATGCTATTAGACAAGAAACCATCTGCAGAGCCCTTTAAAACAAAGCTGGTATTCAACCTCCCAGACTACTGTTTCCCAAATTGAGGTCTGCATGCAGGTGTACTTCAAGGGGCCTGTGAGTTCTTTGTAAGTTCAGATTGTGATCCCTTCTTGTGCTCCTCTGTCTTATGTTGAAAACAGAGCCCTCTGAGCATTCTGGCTTGGAAAAACGACATCTGAGAGTGACATGATCGAGATTTATAAGATTATGCATGGAACAGAGCAGGCAGAGAAAGAAGTACTTTTCTCCCTTTTTCACAATACAAGAACTCGTGAAGTGGTGGCGGTGGCTACAAGCATGGGCAGCTTCAGGCGGGAGTTAGATAAACATATGGAGCGGAGGTCCATCAGTGGCTATTAGCCACAAGGTACAGATAGGAACTCTCAGTCTGGAGCAAGTGATGCACTGTATTCGTGGTGCCTGGGGGAGTCCTTCTAGTGTCCTCCTGATGGCACCTGGTATTTTTGGCCACTGTGTGACAGAGTGGTTGGATTGGATGGGCCATTGGCGTGATCCAGCATTGGCTTCTCTTATGTTCTTATGTTATTAGGGCAGGGACTCTGCACTTCAAGGAACAGGGGGCAGAACTGGCTTCCTGCGCCTTAACTCTTACAATTGCTGCTGGTTGCAGCCACCTAGTTTCCTCAGAAAGCTACTCAGAAGAAACACGCTGTTAGTGTTGCTGAGAACCAATAGCTCAACCCTGAACAGCTGGATGCACAGCACCAAGGACGTACAGTCCTGATAACAGTCCTCATATATAAACTGTCAGGTATAAAACTGAGCTGCGGTGGCTCAAGTGGTTAAGACGCTGAACTGCAGGCTGTGGAAGGTCAGTAGTTCAGTGGTTCAAGACCCGGGTGCCACAAGACGGGGTGAGCTCCTGTCTCTAGTTCCAGCTCCTGCCAACCTAGCAGTTCGAAAGCAAGAAATTGCAAGTAGATAAATAGGTACCACTTCGGTGGGAAGGTAACAGCGTTCCGTGCGCCTTGGTGTTTAGTCATGCTGACCACATGACCACCGAAATGTCTTCGGACAGCGCTGGCTCTTCGGCTTTGAAACGGAGATGAGCACCGCAACCCTAGAGTCGGATTCGACTGGCTTTCGAGCAAGGGAACCTTTACCTTTTATAAAACTGAACTTGTTCTTTTCAGATTTTGGCACAGAGATGCCACTCTGCATCTGTGGGCAAGTAATAGCCAATAGTGGTTTTGAACCGACTGTGAGAAGTTCAGATTTTGTGGGACGCTGCTCCTTCTCTATTTCTGTGGGCTATTCTGAAAGCTTTTCCAGGCCCTTTCCCCTCCTCCCCACTTTTTAACTAATAATAAATTGTTCTGCTGTCTCCATTGTGAAGTGTCCCCCAGCTGAGGAGTGAGATGGATACTGGAGCTTGTGTCAGGGCCGCTGGAGCTGTTGACCTATAGCATCAGCAGCTCTCTGAGTCCTGTCCTTGTAGTTCATGTACAGACATTAGAAAACCATTCGTCGTACACTCACTTTAAAGTGTAGCTGGAAAAGGGTCTCAGAGCATTGTTCTGACTATGAGAGAGCATAGAAACCTCCGGAGGGCATGTGAGGCTTGCCACATGCACACTCAAGCATGTACTGGTGAGGGAACCATGGTACTATTCTTGATGAATACAGGAATGAATGAGTTGCCATTTTAAAAAGCAAAGCGCCCCCTCTCTCTCTGACTGTCTGAGCCCCTTTGTTTTTTCTGGTCTCTGCTTTCTCTTTTGCAGTTGTAATTGATTCCATTTACAAAGTCACCGAAGGCCGGCAGTCAGAAATCTTCCACCGCCATGCTGAAGGCCACTTTGATCCAAGCTGCTGCTTTACCATTTATCATGGGAACCACATGGAGTCTCTAGATCTGATCACCTCTAACCCAGAGGAAGCTCGGACCTGGATCACTGGACTGAAGTACCTGATGGCTGGGATAAGTGATGAAGACTCTCTTGCTAAAAGACAGCGGACTCATGATCAATATCCTTTCAAGATTGTGTTCTGGCTTTCAGTTAGCTGGCTTTCTTTGTTCCAGCACGGGGGTATTTCTTGAGGTACAATGTCTGCTCTGTCCCACTTATAACATACAGGGTTTTTTTGTACCTTCAAGTATGCCTTTTCATTTGCGGATTGAGTAATGCCCTTTCCTGTAGTCATATAACAGTTTTGTTGGTTTTTACCTCAGATGAAGCCTACCACATCAACTGCCTGCTTACTGTCACATTTGTTAATCCCAGAAAGACTCAGAAATAGCGTTTAAATCAAAGCTTGGTTTTTGTGATGAGTGGACAGGATTTCCTGAGAATTGTCATCTCCATAGGAGTGGCTTAACATTGTGGCCATCCATTAGGCCAACATTATTTGGTTATTATTTTTCATTGTCAGAAACAGGGATGGTGTGTGTGGGGCACACACATGCTAGGATTGCCTGTTACAAAATGTCTTGAGCTGAGAGAAGAATCTATCTGAGTCTACTGAACTTTTGAACAAAGAAGCAAATTGAAGCTAGATCTGGGTTAACTGGATTACAGGCAAACAAACAAAAAGCAACTAGAAAAAAAAATCCAGGAAAGGACCAAGGAAGGACCATTTTGGCCTCATATAAGCTAAGAAACAGACATGGTAAAACATACTCCAAAACCGGAGATTAAAAAACCCCCCACACTTTACAAAGAGAGAGGTTTGGCTCCACCAGAGTGTTTCTATGGACAGAATGACTTCTTCCGCTCTCCCTCCTCTGGAAGCCCAAAATGCCCCTAAACTCTCCTCCCGGGGTGGGGCACAGAAAGAACACTGGTGGATTTGGTCTACAGCAGAAGGGGGAAGGTGAGAAAGTCACACTCCATAGGTGAAAATTGTTCTATCCACACTGTGGTGCATCCCAGCCATAATTCAGTTTAAGCTTTTCTGACATGGGGAAACCAGGTACCCAGACCCAGAATTAGTGGCCTGGGAAGCAGGTGGGGGAGAGAGGGGCTGGGAAAGCGTGGACCTTGCTTCGTGCATAATTCTGGTTTCCATAATTCAGCTTTGACTGTTAGAAGGCAGAGAAACACTTACCAACCTTTTGCGGCAAATTACAAGCTCCATAAACTCCTTCTGCACTTTCTATATTTATCCCTGACTTTTGGAGCGGCTGCGCGTGGCTGCCATGCATTCGTTTGTGCTGAAACGTTCCTTCAAGCCTTGTTTGCGTTATCAGTTCTGGCAGATGGGAGGCCGGAGGGCGGAAGGGCCCCTGTAACAGTTCCAGTTGGAGTCAGAGCAGAACAGAAGCCACCAGGGGACAGGGATTCACAAAGAGGGATTTATCTGTTAGACGGCTGAAGTCAGAAAGGAAAGGCGAACCAGTAGGACAGAGATTTGGTGCAATTAAATGGTTGACAAGAAGAGGAAGTAGTGAGAGTGGGAAAACTGAAGGGCTGGAGAAGGAAGAAAGAAGCAGCAGTTTAAAACCACCAAGGAGATGAGTCTTGTCTGTGAGGGTTAAAGACGGTTGGATTTTTAGTGGAGAGAGGAAGATGACAAACAAGAGAATGTAATAAATGTTCTGAGATAGTGTGGAAGAAGGAAGGGGGCTGTGGGTCAGTGGCAGAGTGTCTGCTTGGCATGCAGAAGGTCCCAGGTTCAATACTGGCATTGCCAGTAAGGATTGGGTTATATGTGATGTGAAAGATCTCATCCTGAGAGCTGCTGCCAGTTTGAGTAGACACTACTGACAATGCTGGACCAAGGGTCTGATTCAGTATAAGGTAGCTTCATGAGTGTGTTGAGGTTGAGATTTTTCTCTCATGTATTGCTAGAATTTTTCAGGGGCTCAGGTGTCACCTAAAGAAGCTCCTTTGGGGTAGATTCAGGTCATATTGGAAGCAAACATTTCTTCAGACAGCACATCATTAACTTACATAATGCACTAGCTGGTCACGTGCCTGCAGCCAGTAGCTTAAATGATTTTTAGAAAAAGGATTCGATGCATTCGTACAAGGTTTCAGTAAACGTTGGCTAAAATGGAGGCGCTTTTGTTAGAGATGGCATACATCTGATTTCTGGATGCTGGGATCAAATGGGAGGGTTGGTGTGTTTCTCACGCCTTCTGTCTAGTTATGGTTGACAACTGAATGCTGGTCTAGCTGGACCATTGGCATGCTGTGCAAGGTGGTTGAATTGACATAGTTGAAGAGGCCTTAGGTGATCACTATTATATCATTCCAAGTTCATTTTAAATCAGGGTTTAGAAATTTCCAGGCACTTCCTTTTCAAAAATGGTTTGCCACAAGGAGGGAGTGAATCTAAAAAGGCTAATGTATGGTCCAGAGTTCCTCTGTAATAGTCTACAGTGACCTGTGAATGGTGAGGGATTCAGAAAGGCTGAATGATCATCTCTCATTTGATTAGAGTAAGATTTTTGCCTCACACGTTCACGCTCAATATACTAGCAAAACATAAGATTGCTCTTTAACTGGCTAGTGGAGACTAACAAGACAGCCAATTAAAGGCACTGTAAGTTGATTTTAATCAGCAGTAATTAAGCCTTCTCTAACATCATTTAGGATGCAGCCATCTGCAAAAATGGCCAGTCTTTAGCTACCCAAACATGGTGACCTAATGCTTTTTTAAAAATACTCTGAGAGAGTGAAAAGTAGAAGTCACAATGCGTTAGAGGCCCAGGTTTTCTGCCAGTGACATGAAAGGGGCCCGTATTCATCCGTTCCCTCTTCCTGTGGCAAACCCCCATTTAGCTCTCCCAAAATTATTCTTAAAGACCCCCCCCTCCCCAGAGTAGTGTTTTGAGGAGACCAGTGGGGCTTCAGTGGAAGGGAGAGATGGGAGAATTCTGCTGGCAGAAGTGTCAGCAGGACATGACCTGTTGCTCAGACTCAGTGTAAATGTCATAAAAAAACCAAATAAATGTCCCCCTCTTCCCCCTTGTTTTGCATTTGTAACTCAAGAAGAAGTAATTGTAAGGAGCCTCAAGGAGTGTTCTGAAAAGGTGGTCTAGAAATATTATAAATAAATAACACAGTCTTGAATCTTTGGGGAAATGCATCGCATGTTGAAAGCTCACACGCACACACAGACACACACGTTAAAAATACTTCCTTGCATTTTCCAGTAATTGCAAAGTGGATCTACAAACCTGTGATGTAGGCAGTTTACCCTTTCCTTAACTTTTGTGCACTTGGGTGAAGCAGACCTTTGAGGAAGCAGACAAGAATGGTGACGGTTTGCTAAATATTGAAGAGATCCATCAGTTGATGCATAAGCTGAACGTCAGCCTACCCCGGCGAAAAGTAAGACAAATGTTTCAGGTGAGCTTCCGTTCTTTCACTGTTTGTCAGACTGTTGAAATAGGAACCTGAAGTTACTGAGCAAAATTAATGAATAGACACGTCCCTCCATGTAGTTGTGTTTCCAGAGAGGGAGGCAACAAGAGCAGGCTAATCCTGTCATATCATGTCAGTGTTTGGCTCTGACTGGACTACTAACATCTGGCAGAGTCCCTCCCACAAGGAATTATAACACTTAATGAATTGCAGACTGGACACTGAGATCTTGGTATGCTTGGTGATGAAGCCAGGGCTTAATCATGGTCAGACCAAGTTCCCTTTGGGCGTCACTTGCATTTTGCTATGCCTCTTTCACCATTTGTCTCACTGAAAGTAATTGGGCTCCTTCTTTCGTTGTGCAATCAGAAGCCAGCAACTGTCCAGTAATATGGCCAGTCCAGATTAGGATTTCTTGAAGAAATTCCAGAACTCCTGATGCATTTTAAGCTAACTTCTCTCCTTCAGTTGTAGCTTTTAAAAATAAAACACATTGCTTTTACAAAGGATATCCTTGCCAGTGTATTCCCCCCCCCCCCAAATCCTGGAGTTGTTGCTTCATTCAAGCCACTGACATCTGCATGCTCCCTGTTCTGTTCCCTTGTACTGACAGCTTAGGGGATGTGGGGGGTTGTAGTCTGTACATGGGTGGCACAGTCTGCATGAGTGAAAGAGTATAGCTTGTGTGTGTACATATAAAGTTGTGTTCCTGTGTGTCCTGTTTACTACTAAAATGCTCAGCTGGGAATACCAGAACTTTCTTGTGGACATATTTGTAACAGTTGAGTTGAAGTCTTTCGACCAGGCCTGTAGCTATGGAGGGGTGTTTGGGGGTTCTGCCCCCTTTCTTAAAGGCACAGCCCCACAAGAATTTCTCCTGTAAATGATTTTTCAGTCATTTAAAAAAAACCTTTTTTTAAAGGCATGCACTCCTTTAAGCAGAGTGGGGAGGGGCTGTAGTTGACGAATTCCTGCACTGAGCAAGGAAGTTGGAATAGATGACCTCTAGGGTCCCTTCTAACTCTGTGTCAGTAAACTGGTCTCCTTTAAGAGAGTTTTCCTGCCTGTGTGTTAACTTTCTTGACTCTAGAAGTCATCACCTCCACCTGGCCACTTGCTATCAGAATTGTTGCTTAGGCTGGCAGAAGTGATTAACTTGCAGCAGCTGAGAACTGTCATCTAAAGTGGTTGACAGCTTGCAATTAGAGATCAATCCCGGTAACAGCTTTCTATTGGGTAAATGGCTTTTCTTTCTGCACTGAGAACTTCAGCCCCGCCAGAAAAATTTTTGCCCCACAAGCAGCAAAATCATGACTGCGGGCCTCCTTTAAGCAGAACATCCACAAAGTGTTGCTGGTACACAGCCTCTTTTCCTCTTTGATTGGGGCTTGTTTGGCGCTCTCCTTGAGTATACTTAGCTTTGCACTGTAACAAGAGAGCTGCATCGTCTTGGGTGTAATGGTGATGCTAATAATGGTGCAAGGCAGGCTTTTATGTATTTTATATTTTTTATATTTAAAAAAACTCACAGGGATAAAGCATGTTCTTGTTAACCAGCACTAACAGTTGCATTTGTATAGCCAGAGGCATCTGTTTCTCTGTTCTCACCCCTGATGCTTGCCAACTAATGTTTGGGTTTTCAATAATATAAACCATTTGGAGATAAGCTGGAACCAAAGAAAAATGCTGTCTCATTATGCTCTTGACAGCCTACAGCTTAGGACACTTCTCTGCTTGGCTCCAATAAAACACCAGGCTCTGTCTCCTTCAAAGAGGAATGTTTTTGCACAAATCTGAAAGCGGCTTTTTCACACATTGGTGGTGTTCCTAGTGCATCCACACTTAACTCCATCACTAGTCTGGAAATGGGTAAAGGCTTCTGCCCAAATGATTCCATTGCTGTCGCGGTTACTGTGCCACCAAATAAATGTCCAAACCTAGAAGATGCATTTGATGAGTGATATAATAAATACAACATTGGTGAGATCACTTCTGCAAGAAGTGGTGGCGGCCGCAAGCATAGACAGCTTTATATTTATTTATTTGTTGTATTTCTAGCCCGTCCTCCCTGCAAGCAGGCTCAGGGCGGCTCACATTACTTTAAGAGGTGATTGAATAAACACATGGAGCAGAGGTCCATCAGTGACTATTAGGCACAAGGTATAGATGGAGCACTATGTCCTGGGCAGTGATGCCCCATATTCTTGGTGCTTGGGGGACAACAGTTGGGAGGGCTTCTGAAGATGTGGCCCCACTGGTGGACCTCCTGATGGCACCTGGGTTTTGGCCACTGTGTGAGACACAGTGTTGGACTGGATGGGCCATTGCCCTGATACAACATGGCTTCTCTTATGTTCTTACAAGAATGCTTCAGCAATGGTGTGTATTTTGTAGAGTCTGGTTATAAAGTCAAAGGTGACTCCACCCCCCCCCCCCAAGCCCTTGCTAGAAGGTAGTTTCAGAAGGGTAGCCATGTTGGTCTGTGGTAGAAGAGCTAGATTCAATTTCAGTAGCACCTTTAGAGACCAATCCAGTTTCCAGGGTACAAGTTTTGTAGAGTCAAAGCTCTGACGAAGGGAACTCTGACTCTCAGAAGCTGATACTTCAAGAATTTTGTTGGTATCCAGCGAAAAAGGCGAGGAGGTTAATCCTCCATTTGTACAAGCGAAAAAGAAAAGGAGGGGGGGAATGGATTGAGCGGACAGTGATGTTTTCCTTTGATGTATTTGAAACAAAGCGAGAAAAAGTTTTGTCTCTCTGGAGCACATTTTAAGAACTTTCTAAAAGTAAACAAAAAAGAAAAGATGTCGGAGCTGGGCAAAAGCGAGCGGAAAAGAAGGGAGGGACTTCCGTCTGGGCGTTTACTTGTGTGTGAGAGCCGGCTATTTAATGTTTGGACTGTTATGGCTGTGAATCCGACGGGAGTTTTGTAAAACGGAGAAGTTTGAACTTTGACAGCGAAGAGTGCCTGGCAAGCGCTTATATGAGTCAACAGTTGCGAGGAGGACCCAGTAGAGAGTTTTGGGAGCGGATATAAAAGCGAAGAAATTAATACCATTCTCAAAGCTGGGGACCTCCAGTAATGGCAAGCAAGGAAGAGGATTTACAGTGCATGAACTGAGATTGTTAACAGCAACCCGAAGGAGGATCTAACAAGCCGGAAGGAGAAGACAACAGAGGAAGCTCCTCCACATCAGCGATAGTAAAAGTACCCAGCACGCAAAGAAGCGGTTCTGAATGTGCCCAGAAGAGGCTTTTTTTATTAACAGAAACTCAAAGGAACATTACTAACATACTAACAGAGAACTTCATGTGACCGGATTAAAAAAAAGAAGTTTGACAACACACAGAAGAAGCCCAAGAAGATTAATTGGACATTACTAATAGTTTAATTTACCAGTTTATATATCACTCAGCTTTCTCTTTCCCCCACTGTCTACCCTTCCCATTTCTTCTTTTAAGCGAAATACCTCCCCTTTTTAGGGGAGTCAATAAAACCTTTATTTTTTAAAAAAAGAATTTTGTTGGTATCTAAGGTGCTACTGGACTCTGATCTAGCATTTCTAGAAATATAACTTTTCATCTTTGATAACTGCAGAGGGGTAGTCATGTTGATCTGCAGTAAAAGATCTGGATTCGAGTCCTGTAACTCCATAAGAGACCAACAAGATTTTGAGGGTATAAGCTTTCAGGAGTCAAAGATATCTAACAGAGAAAGCTTTGACTCTTGAAAGCTTATACCCTGAAAATCTTGTTGGTCTCTGAGGTGCTATGGGACTTGTATTTAGCCGTTTCTCTCTTCGAGTGGATTCTGTTCAGCTACTCAGTCCTCAGTAGTGAAAGCAGACTTCCTCTCAGTTACTGTGGGAACCTTCATACATAAAAAAGAATGTATTTTGGAAGAACTGCTGTGAAATGTTTTGTAAATCCCAAGCAAATCCTCTTAAGCAGATGCTCTAAGCTTTTTTTTTTAAGCAGCCCCCATAATAACACACAGTAAGTACTCTTTCTTCCCTGAGGACTGCCACAAACAGCAATCAAGGGTGAATTTAGTGTCAAAATTTGGTCTGCACTGAGTCCTGCTGTTGTTGTGGTCTCGTCATGGTCTCAGGAACACTTTGGCAATAGGAGTGAAATGGTTGCGGCTGCTTTTTCATGTTGATTGAAGATTCAGGCGTGTAGCGTTATGCTGATTTTCTCATCAGGAGCCAATTAGCCCTTGGATGAAATAACTGGGAGGGAATCGGATGCTGTTTACAGAGCTATGAGGCCTCCACAGAGAAGTCTCGGCATGACTTCTCATTGAAATCAGTAGATCTCGGCAGGGCTCCTCTGTCGGTGTAGCGCCTTATGCTGGCCTCCTCCTGTGCTTGAAGTTCATTGGAATAGGGGAGAAGCATGTGGCTTTGAGACTGCACCATTATGCACATTTAATTGGAAGTACTTCCCCATTCTGTGAGATTTACTTTTGCATCAAAGTGGTTAGGGTCATGTTGTAGGTCAGTGTTTTTTAAACTTTATCAGCTGTAACCCCAAGCTTTCCCTTCCTCTTTTGGTAGTGCATGCCATGCACAGGTCATCCACTTTTCCCTGGGTGTGAGGTAAACCAGGCTTGCCCTGTCAAGGCTTCTAGTGAGAATGGTATCAGCTGCACTTTTTCTTTCACAAAGAAATTTTAAGTAAAACTGTCTCGATACGGCCCTGACCCAAGGTCTGGCTAATTTTTCTTCACAGTTGGAAGGGACTTTGTGACAGAGGTATCAAGAAATTTCCTTATTGTTTAATAACTTCTAGAGAGAGGCCAGGTAGAGACAGGTGAAAGAAGCCTGGGATAATTTTCAGAGGTGCCCATAGAAACAGAGAAAGACCAGCACTGCATAAAACCTGCAGTACTCTCTCTCTCACACACACACATACTACTCTGTGTCCTTATCTAAGATAAAATCCTTCTTTGTTGGAAAATTTTTAAAAATCCATTTTTTTATACCTGAAATAGTTACGTCTGTATAGGACTAGTGCCTGTTTGGTATCATGGAACCACTTGGGGCTATTCATTTTCAGCACAGCAGTCAGTCAGGGCCAAACTAGATGTGATTGTGCCCTTGTTGCCACCAGGAAGATGCTACAGCTATCTTAAAGTGATTTAAAAATGCGGCAAGGGCCCAATCCTGATCAGGCCCACAGTGCAGCACTCTTGTTTACCCCAGTGTGCCTTATCAAGTGCTGAAACAGCTACAGGGGAGGAGGGAGTCATTTTAGTACTCGATAAGGTGTGCGGGGGGGGGGGGGGACAAGTGCCTCGGCCTACTGCAGTTTTAAGTCACGTTAAAATGGCAGCACTGTTCTCATGGACCTTAAAAACCAGAAGGCTGGCCACTGCTTTTTCCCCCCTTTTTTTTACTGCAAATGCTGTGAGCATGGATACATGTGGTATAATCAAATATGTATTCCCTGTTGAATATTTGAAAGACTGCTTCCTCCCATATTTCTCAGCCCACTGGTTATCCAGCCCCAGAGAAGGGGCTTTGTTGGTGGTGTCACTTTGTCTTTGGAATGCCCTCCACCTTGCGGCTTGCCTAGTGGCTTACTTTACTTTTTCTTAGGCAGCAGGATAAAACATTTTTTGTTTTCCCAGTTTTTTAACTCAGGGGTTCCATCCTTTTAAACCTATGTTCCTAGCCTGGAGGCTGATTTATCAGTATCATTTTAGGCTGCTCCATTTTACGTGTTTTTATATCCTGGCTCCCTTATATTGACTGTTTTTATTGGCATTCCCCCCCCCCCAAATTGACTTGGATAATTTTATTGATACATTTTTAGTGGTATGATCTGTTATTGTTTTTATTGTCTTTGCTTTCTCTTGTTTTATTATGAGCTGTCTGGAGCAAGTCTGGGGAGGCAATATGCAAATTTTCTAAATAAATAAGGAATACAGATTGCTGGCATGTGGAAGGGTGGCAGTATTAGATTAGGATCTGGGAGACCTGGGTTCCCATTCCCATGCTGCCTTGAAAGCTTTCCAGGTGACCTTGGACGAGTCACATACTCTCAGGCTTAACCTACCTTACAGGGTTTGTGGGGGGAAATGGAGGAGAGGAGAATGACGTAAGTTGCTTTGGGTTCCCAATGGAGAGAAAACTGAGGTGTAAATGAAGTAAGTAAACAAAACCACAACATCAACATCAAATCTAGGCTTTTGGATGAGGTGATGTTTTGAAGCAGTCATGCATTTAAGATGCCCTGTCAGCTGTGGTTTAGGGAGCTTCACTAGGGTTGGCCATGATCTCTGAATTGGTTTGTAATTTGCCGGCACTCCAGAATCAGAAGGTGTTCTGCAAATCATGGTTTCTGCTGTCATTGATTTGATATAACATCTGACTTGCCCAGTTAAAGTTGCGTCCATCATTTTGCCAACAAGAGGCTGGAGCGAGTTCAAGAAGCTGAGAGGATGGAAGGTGAAAGCAGATTAGTGACGGTAAATCATGACATGTGTTGGTTGTACATTTGGAAGTTCAAGCCATTATTTGGGCTCTAAAGTGTAATTGGTGCAAATTATGGCTTTGTAAGAATGTTTCAAGTGGATCGACATTGTTTCCTGTGGTAAATATTCTGCCCTGCTACTTCATTCCCATTCACCCAGCACAGACATTTGGTTATGCTTGTTTCTCAGGAGGCTGACACAGATGAGAACCAAGGAACGTTAACCTTTGAAGAATTTTCCGTGTTTTACAAGATGATGTCATTAAGACGCGACCTCTACTTGCTGCTTCTAAGCTACAGTGATAAGAAAGATCACCTCACCGTCGAGGAACTTGCTCAGTTTCTGAGGGTAGAGCAAAAGGTAGGAAAATTAAATATAGGGACTGGTTTTGTTCTAATGCACAGCATAAAAGCCTTCTTCTGGCTTCAGAATTTGTTTTCAATGTTCGCTTTATGGGTTTTCAGGTTATTAATTTCCTGCTGCCTCACCTTTAACTATAGTATCAATATACATTTTTGAAGGGGGAAAACAGAATCTTTAGCAGACTTCCTGTTCATATCCAGCAACCTGAGTGTTTTAGACCCTTACATTACTTTGATTTCAAAAGTGTGTTCCTAGCCATTACTTGTCAAACATTCAAAGCAGGGTGACAGGTGATGCAATCTGTCTTCAGCGTATAGCTATCTTGTTCTTAGAGGAATCAACTGGTCTTGATACTATTTTATCACTGTTGACTTCATCCTGTTGCCATTTTAGATGCTTCTGTCTGAGTGCCAGCAGGCGCTTTTTAAAAAATTGAAGTACAGAAGGCTAGCTATTGGCCTTCCACAGTGATGAATTGCCCAGACTGAAAGAATGCAGTAGATCTTGGAGGCTTTATAGGAGGCAGTGACACAAGATTAACTGCTGGGGGGGAGTCACCTGATTCCCAGGGCAGGATGATTCTGTGCTGTGTCACTCAAGCCACCTGCATTTCTTTCTCAAACAATGGTCCTGGCGGGACAGGAAGTAAACGTCTAGTGCCTGGCTACTAGACATGTGATTGGAAGAAATTCCCTTCCTGCAGTTTTTAACAGCTACGTTAATTGCAAGTTTCAGAGGGGGAGAAGAGATGGACTCATAATACCAAAAGGGAAGAACACCTGTCTCTAAAATATTTTTGCATTTTCATCATATAAACCAGCCTGCTTTCTGTAACAAGGAAAGAGAGGAACTTTGTGATCGTGAGGAGTCTATTAAGTGCTTCGCAACTATGCCTCAAGGCCACAGGCTACATACACATTGCCCACACCTGTTATAAATAATTGGTATTTTGTTTCACACTCGTTTCAGTTTGAGCTTGTCATCCGTCGTTCATTACCAATCCATTTGTCAGCGGTCAGCTGCCCAGGCACTCTGTCCAACAGAATCACTGTGCTGTAGGTGTTTTTTGAGTGTACTCATGTGAGACAGGGTTTTGTTTTGTTTTTTTGTGTATCCATTACTTCACCCTGGATCAGTGGCTTTGGAAACACCTGCTATCCATTCATGGAACAGCATGCATGCTCAGCATTGTGACCTCCCTCTTAGAGACAAAAATGGGTTTGAGGGGAGCAGGGTAGCTCACTAGACCTTGAAGTTCTGCCAATGAGTAACAGAAGATGTATGAGAAGTACAAAAGAGGGACAAAGCAAGCTCTTTAGTAATAAGAAGTCACTGGAGCTTGAAGGCTGACACCACCAACATAAGTTAGTCCAGGAAAGGTTGCAAGGCAGGATGGGCAGAAGACTCCCAGCTGGCATCAGTTACAAAATTGTGACTTGGGATTAGAGTCAGGAGATGGAGCCTGCTGAATAGGGTCTGTTTAGCGTTGTTGTAGCTATTGTTTGTTCGCTTAGAGTTCTCCCCAGTGGGGACTCAAAAATAAAAATGAAAGATAGAGGCATATCATTTAAATGAACAAATTCCAAAGAGTACAGTACACCACGTTTTGGGTTGGTCCTGGATCTATTGAGCTGACTCACTCCGGGCCATGGACTAAAAGCGAAGGACCAAGATCCCTTTGGCTCTTGCCTTTCTGCTCAGGCCAAGAGGCTCCTGCTTCTGGGCACACCCAACAGGAAAGGAATCAGCCCAGATCTTACTCAGCTGGCAGACATGTTTCCAAGGATCTCCAGCCTGTGCTCCAAGAGCCTATTGCTGTGTCCAGGCTTGCATACAAATCCCTGCCACTGAGCAATTTATGAATGATAGGAGCTCTGCGGCTTGAACCGTGAACCTCAAGTGCTGGTACAGAAAGGAAGAGAAGCCTGCAGCACAGGCCCTTGCAATGGACAGGCAATGTTAACCAAGTAGATTAGCACCAAGGATAAGCACAAAGAGCCTAATTTTATGGTCTTCCCTGGTGATCAGAGAAGTATCTTGTTCTGCCACCTTCCAGGCTCCAGCAAATGCTACATCTCAAGCCACTGCTCTAGTTCTTAGCTCTGACACTTGACCTCAAAGATGCTGAGTTCAGGAAAACACAGCCTTAAGTCTGAGTTAGGGAATCAGCCCACATGAACACATGTGAAGGTGCCTTATACTGAATTGGATAATAGGACCATCAGGGACAGTATTGTCTACTCAGACTTGCAGCAGCTCTTCAGCATCTCAGGCAGAAGTCTTTCACGCTGCCTACCACCTGACAGGGATTAAACCTGGGATGTTCTGCATGTTGCACAGATGCTCTAATGTCAAGCTGCAGCCCCTGCTTTGTGTTTCTGAAACCAACAGAACAAAAATGGCCTTTGCCAAATGCCTGTTTCAAATGGCATGAATGCAAAGAATATGCTGCATTTTTTTAAAAAACCCTGTAACTATCATGTTGTTCTAGTTTCCCATTTAGTCCTTCCTTTCAATCCAAAATCAGTAAGATTTGCTGTTTACAAAAGCGTCTGTAAGACACAATGTACAGCATGACTGTAATAAACAGCATGACCATTGCCGGTTGTTTTAAGGAAATATTGATATAAAAGCCAAAGGCTGGACATTTTGTGAAGGAGCCAGTAAGGGACAGCTAGAGATCAGTAAATCAATCAATCAATCTGTATTTGTTATGATCATAGAACAGCCAGGCACATCTACATAGGGTACAATTTTGAAGCCGCATAATAAGTTAATTTCGGTAGTACAGGCATAATTAATAAAAAGCCTTAACTAGCTGCTTCCTTGTTGAACAAGCAGAGGCGCAAAAGTTGGCCACCTTAGAGTGGATTTTGTTAGAACAATCTGAAAAGAGGAGGGAAAATGCCTGGAAAATATAAGATTGGAGTTATGTGTGTTTGAATGTCCCTATACAAAGACACATGATTGTCTCTACAACAACACATGATTAACTGTTTCAACCATGTCCAATTGGCATGGGAAAACATGTTGAAAAAGCTGGTGGTAATACATTAAAGGACCAAGGTGAAGGCTCTTTGCCATTTAGGGTATTCTAAAACATAGAAATAACTGCTGGAGCAAGGTGTTAGAAATAACTGCTGGAGCAAGGTGTTTACCATGATTCCATACTGCCGGATAAGACTGTGCCTGTGCTCTGTCTACTTGATGGGGCTGTATCCCACATTTAGTGTTTAATTCTTTCTTTGGCTCCCATCAATCTAAGATGGCACAGACCTGGGGGAGCAAACCCACAGAAAGGTAGCTTCTCCTCAACAGCTCTTACCCAGCATGAGCAAAATTTTCTGAAAGAATTAATGAAGTTAATCCAGAAGGGTTAAAGTTTAAACCAAAAGCATATTGCTTGATACCAGGGCATTGGGAACACATTGTGGGACCCCAAGTATGCATCTAAGGAATTTAGATTGTATTGCCACCAATCTTTGTGTAAACATACTGTGTGACCAATAGATGAGCTGAGGAATCACCTTGTCCTGGAAGACTTTGATCACATAAGGAATATGTGTGCCCCTTTAATTAAAAAAAAGAATCTCAGGGTGACTGATATTGCTCTTAAGGCAGTTTTGATAGTGTGGGCCATTGAAGCTTTCTACTAACCAGTTGACTGAAAAACTGTGCCTAAATATTTGGAAAACTTTACCTGCTTAATATCATGCCCATTAATCTGTAATGTGAGTTTAACAAAGTTTTTGGTAAAGACACGGATTTTGGTCTTTTGAAAAATTATTGTTAACTATTCCTCCTTACAATATAGTGTAAGGTCCTGGAGGGCTTTTCTAAGCCCTACTTTAGAGTGAGATAACATAGCCATATCATCTATATATAGTAGTATGGAAAATGGTCCATATGGTAATCTAGGAGGGTGGATGTCCGAGCTAGTGAAGGCTTGAGCCATTTGATTAATATAGAAATTAAATAACAGATCAGTACATATCAGGATAAAAGGGTCAGTTGGAGACAAGGTGGAGGGTAGCTCCAAGGCAGATGTTTTGTACCAGCTACTTCCACTGTCCAGCTGATTCCTAAAATTCTGATGTCTGACCCAAACCCTTTCCCATTTGATGTGGAGTGGATTCTAAAAGGAGGTGAGAGCCAGTTTGGTGTACTGGTTAAGTGCATGGACTCTAATCTGGGATAACCGGGTTTGATTCCCCACTCCTCCACTTGCACCTGGCTGGATGACCTTGGGCAAGCTGTAGTTCTGATAAGAGCTGTCCTTAAAAAGAGCAGTTTCTGTCAGAGCTCTCTCAGCCCCACCTACCTCACAGGGTGTCTGTTGTGGGGAGGGGAAGGGAAAGGAGTTTGTATGCCGCTCTGAGACACCTTTGGGTAGTGAAGGGTGGGGTATAAATCCAATCTCTTCTTCTTCTTCTAGCCTGGATCTAGGACTTTCCCAGCATTCTATGGTTTCCTGGCACTCCTTCTTTGACATTTCAGGCAAGGCTTAATAGGTGAAGACGGGGTCTCCTAGGCAGATGGAGGGTTGGCTCATGTGTACAGCCCACTGTGTGTTTGAATAGTCTGGGTTACTTGCCCCAGGGGATCTGAGTCTAATGCTGGTTGCTCCCTCGTCTGCTGTCCCTCAAGCTGGGCTGCAGATGCCTCAGGGCTATGCATAGCCTCTGTTTGCACTTCTTTTGATTAAATACCTGGGTTTGTGCACTCAGCCAGATATGATATTCCTCAGAGTCAGAATCCCAAGAGTCACAAGGGTCTGCGACCGTCTGTGAGTGTTTTCTGTGCACCTGTTCTCTGCTATAAGTGGAGATAGTTGCTTTTTTGTGTTCTCTCCTCTAGAATAATGTAACAGGAAATTTAAAAAAAAATCTTCTGTGGAAGCTATTTTAGGGCCTTCTTCATGTTATAAAAAAGACAGATTCCTGCGCTTTTGCTGCAGTTGTGCTGGCATGCAAGGGTATGTCTACGTTAGATTTCAA